TCATCCAGCGGGGGTGAGGCCAGAAGGGGACGGAGAGGTCAGACTGTGGGCTTTGAGAGCATCCACACTCTAGGAGGTCAGCTTTGATGCGGAGCCCACAGACAGTGCGGGTGGTCCCCAGGATCCCTGGGCAGCCACAGGTGTGTGAGGAGCAGGCACCCGGCGTCCTCTGAGCCCTGCCAGCACAGGCCTGCTCCTCTGCTGCCCTCCCTCTTCCCACTCCCTCTCTTCCTTCTCCCCTTTCCCCTCTCTCTCTCCCTCTCCTCTCTCCCCCCTCCTTCTCTCTCCCCCCTCCTCTCTCCCCCCTCCTCTCTCCCCACTCCTCTCTCCCATTCCCCCCTCCCCTTCCTCTCTACTCCTCTCTCTTCCCCTCCCCCCATCTCCCCTCTCCTCTCTCCCCCTCCCTCCTCTCTCTCCTGTCTCCCTCCCTTTCCTCTTCCTCCCTTCTCTCTCCCCACTCCTCTCTCTCCCATCCCCCCTCCTCTCCCCCTCCTTTTCTCTCCCCTCCTTCTCTCTCCACCCTCCTCTCTCCCCCTCTTCTCTTCCCTCCTCTCCCTCCTTTCTCTCCCATCTCCCCTCTCCCCCCTCCCCACTCCTCCCCCATCCCTCTCTCTCCTCTCCCCCCACCTCTCTTCCCCCTCCTCTCTCCCCGGTCTCCCCTCTCTCCCCCCTCTCCCTGTCTCCCCTGTCCAACACCTCTTCCTGGGCACATGCTCTGTTCCCCAAGGTAACTGCTTGTCCCCCGAATTTCTCAAGGATTTGCATGACCTGTACTCAAACCCCATGGCATGGAAGGACCTCTGTGGGAGCTCACACACTTCCGCAGAAATCAGCCGAGGGTCAGGTGGACGCAGCAAAAGCTGCTTCAGAGCTGCCTTGCTCTGGTGCCACCCGTGTTCGGCTTTTTGCCTGGGAATAACTTGTGAGCGGCGCCATTCAACCAGCGGGATAAGCGGTGCCCCCCAGCTGCGGCGTGCTGGTCTCCAGGCCAGGGGCTCCCACTCAAGGCATTTGTCTCTGCAGCTGGATATGGAGCTGGGGAGAGCTGAGGTCACCAGGCCCCGCCCCCAGCAGGCTGGGGAGGGCCTTTTAGCAGCTGTTGAGGTCACAGAGAAAGCTCAGATCCAGATCCAGGCTGCCTGGGGTCTCCTCTGCCCAGCAGACTCGGGATGGAAGAGTCACAGCCTGCATCTGGGCAGAGTGAGCTTCAGAGGCGTGTCGCTGAGTGGGAACAGGATGGAGAGTCCAGCCTCCTTCCTCAGACCACGCTTGAAGATGGAGGTCAGAGAGGGAGCCAGGCCGAGAACGCTCTGTGAGGCTCAGCCACCAAGTGAGGGTTCTGGAGACTCAAGCCTCTGCCCGCGACAGAGCGCCACATAGCGGACACCGGGGGCTGCCTGCCAGTGCTGACCGCGCAGATTCCCCCGAGACCCGGAAGCCCGTGAGTGGGTGACCCCCCAGGCCCAAGGCCCCTGCATGGAGCAGGAGTAAGAGGAGACCTCAAGGAAGCTGGTCCATCTGGAGGGCTGGGAAAGGCCGAGAGGGGTGATGGGGGCAACCTGCGGCTCCAGGCTAGGGAAGGCGCACCAGGAGGACAACCAGTGAGCGCCTCCTGCATTTCGGAACTCTCCACGTTGTCTTTCTGGGCTTCCTTTGCGGCTCGATGCTGTGGGGTTCTGCCTCAGCAAGCCACCGCCACCACCACTCTCACGGTTTATTAAGGACCCCTGTATGAAAGTTGGAGTTACACACAGAGAGAAGGAGAGGCAGAGAAAGAGAGAGAGAGGTCTTCCATCCGCTGGTTCACTCCCCAGTTGGCCGCAATGGCTGGAGCTGCGCCAATCTGAAACCAAGAGCCAGGAGCTTCTTCCAGGTCTCCCATGTGGGTGCAGGGGTCCAACCACTTGGGCCATCTTCTACTGCTTTCCCAGGCCACAGCAGAGAGCTGGATGAGAAGTGGACCAATCGGGACTCGAACTGGCACCCATGTGGGATGCCGGCACTGCAGGAGGCGGCTTTCCCCACTACACCACAGCGCTGGCCCCCCACAATTATTTTTTATTTCTGGGGCAACCTTGTACAGTGGTTACTCGGATGTCCATTTTGTGAGTTGAAGAGGTTGGGTGACTTGCTCAAGGTCACATAGCGATTAGCAGAATCAGGATTCGGACCCAGATCGTCCCAATCCCAAGGCCGTGTTCTTTGTTCCCCACTATGTAACCTTAAACTTTGCTCTGTTGCCAAGAGCAGTACTGGGTTCCATGGCCGCCTCTTCCACCCACGCCTGCAGGGAGGTCGGTGGAAGGACGGAAGGACATTGTCCTCTTTCCAGCACTTTTTCACCATGGAGCGGGGTGGGGGACACAGTCTCTCAGGTCCATGTGCGTGTGGATGGATGACAATGGAGTGGGTTCCATCGCCAGAGGACCTGAACCTGGCTGGTCCAGAGGAGCTGGGCTGGGTTCTGCACTGGGATCCAAGCCCCAGGATATCCAAAACAGAAGGCTCCTCAGAGACGAGCAAGCTCCGCCTCATGTGACAACTCAGGGAGCAGGTTCAGGAAGACATGAGTTTCCCAGAGGCACTGCGTGTACATGCATGTGCACGCGTGGGTGAGCATGTCACGCAGGTGTGTGCATGTGTCCGTGCGTGTGTGTGCATATGAGCACGTGCAGAAATGCACCCCCCAGCCTATGAGAGGTGGCCCACAAAAACAGCCCATTTGAGAATTGTATTTTGTTTTTGTGCAGGTAGTTTATCTGGGACAAGGTGTCTCTAGGAAGTGGCTGTAGACAGGTGGGGGAATGAGACACAGCAGAGAAGGAAGCCAGTGCAGGGCTGTCAGGGGCCGACTCACTGCTCTGGGCCATGGAGGCCCAATCCCACTGAGTGCTTCAGAGTTGGCCCTCCCAGGGCCCAGGGGCTGGGGTCATCACCCACCGCGTGATTGCTGGCTGAGCACTGTGGCCCAGAGCCGTCGACTTGCCAGGCCTCCTTGCCAGGCACACTCCAGCAGTCAAAGGAAGCCAAGGGCTGTTGTTCAAGTGATCTGTGGTGCTGAGGGGTCCCCAGTACTGAAAGAGTGAGGAGGTGAGGAGGTCCTGGGCATCAACTGCGTGCTGCCCTCCCAGCTCTGAACCCGAGTGCTGCTGGAGGCGGGAAGAGCTGTTCCCGTGCACACACAAGGACGAGAGGAGTCCAAGTGAGACCTTAAAAAGAGCTTCCGTGCAATGCTAGCAGGATAATGCATCAAAGATCTCTACAGACACGTCCTTCCCTGTGGCGTGGTGGCATGGCAGAGTGGTCACCCGGAACTGGCGGGCAAGGAACCACACAGGGGCCGTGAGGGGCTGCAGTACACTCACCTGTGCCGGCGGGGGCGAGGGTGGTGCCAGCAGAACAGGTAGGGGGAAGCCGCTCCCCCCCCCCCCCCGTGAGCACGCTGTGGGGCGGACAGGGAGAAGGGAGGCAGGGCCACATCTCTGGCAGGGAGAGGCTGTGCTGCCGGCCCAGCCCTGGGCACTGAATGCGGGGGGGCCGGGTCTTGGAGGTAGGAAGTGCTGAGGTTGCCCGCTGTCCTGTGCCAGGGCCAGCCCGCCTCCCTGGGCCCCCGGGCCTCGCCCGAGAAAGGAGCGGCTGCAGGGCTGCACGGGATGACCTCACGCTCCCTCCAGGCCTGACCTGGCCCCGTCCGCTGCTGAGGCCACCCCACAGCCCTCGGGGCCCCTTCAAATCACCCATCAGCAAGCAGTGCCTGAACTCAGCACGGGCCCAGCGCCGACTGGGGGGACAGGGGCGAGACGTAGAGAAAATAAGGGCTCTGGTCTCTGGGAAGAGGACACAGGAAGGAAGCCCGCATTTTCTGTGCATGAGCCCTGTGCTGAATGCTTTCCGTCTGCGGGCGCCTTGATTCCTCACCCACACCCCGCGAGCTGGGGGCCCAGATGAGGAAACCAAGGCTCAGAGGGAAGCGGCTTGGCCAAAGCCATGCAGGATTGCAGCTCAGCTTGAGCCTGTCCTGTGCCACGGAGCTTCCCCTCCTCTGTGAAACAACAGTGACCCTCTGGGGACAGGTCCTTGTGCTTGAGGAGGTAGAACTGAGAGCTGCAGTCCCCCAGGAAGGCCTCCTGGAGGAGGTGGGCCGTGAGGGAGGGTCAGAACTCAGAGGCTGGAAGCAGCTTGAGTGAGCTAATTCCCCAGTGCAGACTGGACTGTGGCTGCTGCAGCCAGTGAGGTGTCTTCTTAGGGCATCAGGAGGGCACAGTGCTGCCTCAGCCGGCTGGTGACCCCTCGGGAGCAGGAGAGGGGCCAGGGAGGGATGGGTGCCTTCCTTAAGCCAGCAGGGCAAGGATTCTCTTCTTGGCGGTCCCAGCCTCCCAGCCCCTGGCATCTGCCCATCCCAGGTGGCTTATCCCAAGCCAGACTCAGTGGGCCTGGGTAAAGATGGAGCTGGTTTCAGTGGGCGTCAGCTCCCTCCCAGTTGAGCCAATGGCCCGGAGCCAAACCACTGCTAATTGCAGCAGAGAACACCCAGAGAGCTGTGCCTGGAGCCAGGCCCAGTTGTAAGAATCTAAGCCTCCTGACAGCCCTTGAGGCAGGTGCTGCTCTGTGCCCATTTTACAGATAGGGCAACAGGTGCAGTGAGGTTGCAGAGCTCACAAGAAGCTGGGCCCAGATGTGAACCCAGACAATCACTCTCCATCGCTCTGTGGTTCAGCTGGTAAGCAGGGGTTCGTGAGCTCCGGCCAGAGCTGCTCCTGCCCTCTACCTGGGATGCTCTGCCCAGTTCAGCTTCTCCTTCATGCTCTTCCCACTTCCTGTTTGTGGGGGGCTCTTCCCTGCCATGACAGCCCCTCCCTTGAAGGGACAGGAGGAGGCAGCCCCACCAGTCCCCACCAACAGAAAGGGGCCTCAGTGCCCCCATTGCTCCCCTCAACCCTGCACCTGCACGCACCCCTCCCCGTCTTCCCCAACCGAGCACCGTTGCCTTTTGTTCACAGTGATGGCTCCTGCGCCCAGGCCGGTGGGGGCATGGAGGACTCCGTGGTGGCAGCGGCAGCGGTGGCAGCCGGCAGACCCAGTGCCCATGCCCCGAAGGCTCAAGCCCAGGAGCTGCAGGAGGAGGAGGAGCGGCCAGGGGCAGGGGGTGGCTCCCCCAGGGCCGGCCCCCAGCACGTGGCCTCCCCTGGTCGGCAGCAGCCTGCCCTGGCGACGGCGCCCTGCTCCCACGCCCCTGCAGCCTCCGATTACGAACTCTCCCTTGACCTAAAGAATAAACAGGTACCCAGGGCCTCCCGGGGGGTGGGGCGGGTGGGGCAGGGGCCCTGCCTTTGGGGTCTGGCCAGGGCTCTAGGGATCTCCCCATCTGGGCCCACCTCTGCTGCAGGCTTGGTTCCCCCCAACCCTGTGGAGCTCCCTCCTCTGCCCTCCCCTGGAGTCCAGGTCCTCAGGGCACTAGCCCCAGGCCACTGCCCAGCTTACCACCAGAGACTTGCTATGACAGGCTCTGCTTGCTGCAATGCAAGGCCCTTCAGCAGCAAACCAAGTGCTGTGCTCCCTTCACAAGGCGCAGGGAGCCTAAACTGCCCCTGCCACAAAGCACAGGGCAGATCTCCTGGCGTTCTGTGGAGTGGCCTCACCTCCACCCGCTGCTTAGAAGACAGAGCCTGGCTTCATGCCCACACACAAGCTCAGGGCCTGGACACACAGCCCACACAGGGTGCAGAGACAGGGATCTCCTCCGAAGGGATTGAAGATTCCCAAGGTTAATCCAGCTGGGGACAGGGGGCGCTAACTGTCCCCTGCAGGAGAACAAATCCCACGGAGTATTCATCTCCGTTGCCAGTTCCATAAAGCAGGAGGAGAAAGGGGTCAGTCGTGGGGCCCCCACTGAACCCTCCCCCAAAAATAAGTGCACGATGTGTCTTAGTGAGCAGTTACGAGACCCAGAGAAAGAGCCGTCTGTTGGTGTGTGTATGCATGTGTGTGTGCACGTGCGTAGAGAAAGATATGAACACGTGGTACTGGAAAGAAAGAGTTTGAATCTGGAGACCTGGATGTGAAATCCGATCCTCGTTCTTCTCTCCAACCCTGTGACTTTGGGAATGCCAGTTAAGCATTCTGGGCATTGGTTTCCTCATTAGCAAAACTGGGAATCAGACCTTGAATTGCCACCAAGGTCCCATCTGGCTCTAAAACGTGCAAGTGCTAAAGGGCCATCCCCAAGCCCGGGGGTCAAGCTGAATTACAGGGAAGAAGGGTGGTGGGAAGGTTGCTGGGGCTGAGTCAAGCCAAACGGACCTGATTTCTCTGAGCACTGAGGCCAAGCTCTTGTTCTGGCCGAGAGGGTGGCTGTAGGCAGTGCTCCCGGCTTCCTGGGAAGTATTTGGCAGAATCCCCGCAGGAAGTCTAGGTGGACAAGACAGGACTATGTGGATTAGATGTCAGTGAAGTTAAGTAGATTGTTGCCAAGCGGAATTTCTGGAAAGTGTTGATTTCCACCCCCTCAGTGCCAGTTCCGGGGAGCCAAGTAGGGTGCTGTCCTTGGTTCTGTCTGGCTCAATCCTATAGACAAGGCATGGAAGAAAGGGGAATAGGAGTTACATTTGCCAGACTTTCCAATGACAAGAAGCTGAAGGAGGACAGCTGATACCTTGATGACAGGATCCACGGGTCTTAATTTTAAAAACCCGTCAAAACAGAAACATGCTTTCAATGAGGAAAGTCCGTTGAAATGGGGGAAGTCTAAAGTTTTGCTCTTTGCTTTGAAAAACCCACAGGACTAGCGTTACATGGGCAGGCTCGGTCCTGGGAGGAAAGCCTGAGAGTCTCAGTTGACTGGAAGCTCAGATGCAGTGAGCAGCAGGGGAGGAGCAGCTAGCTCGCTGGCATCCCACACTGAGCACATCTGGTCTGGCATCGCCTGGAGCCTGTGCTGGGTTCAGAGGATGCACTGCACAGGACAAGCGAGACTCCTGAGGCTCCTGAAAGAGAACAGGGTGGGCTGAGGTCACGTGGCAAACCTGCAGACAGGAAGGGACGTTTTAAGAATGGAAGGGCTGGGGCGGCGCTGTGGTATAATGGATTAAGCCACTGCTGGCAACACCAGCATTCCATATGGGTGCTGGTTAATGTCTCGGCTGCTCCACTTCCAATCTAGCTTCCTGCTAATGTGCCTAGAAAAGCAGCAGAGGGTGGCCCAAGTGTTTGGGCTCCTGCAACCACATGGGGAACTCAGAAGAAGCTCCTGGTTCCTGGCTTCAGCCCGACCTGGCCCAGCCCTGGCCGTTGTGGCCATCTGGGAAGTGAACCAGCAGTTGAAAGATATCTGTTTGTCTCTCTACCCCCAAATAAATAAATAAACCTTGAAAAAAAAAGAATAGAAGGGCTGGCACAGGAAAAGGGGGTAGATGTATTCTTAATTGATTTATTTTATTTGGAAGGGAGAGACAGGCTGATAGACAAAGATCTTCCATGCAGCTGGTTCACTCTCCAAATGTCTGCAACAACTGGGATTGGGTCAGGCTAAAGCCAGGAGCTCAGACCTCAATCTGGAGCTCCCACAAGGATGGCAGGGACTCAAATACCTGCTGCCTGCCAGTGTGCATTTTAGCAGGAAGCAGGAATGGGAAGTGGAGCCGGCACTTGAACCCAGGCACTCTGATATGGGATGCAAGTATCCCAAATGACATCTTAACCTCTGTGCTGAATGCCCACCCCTAGATGTAGTTTCTGTCATTCCAAGTAAAGCAGTGGTACCAACAACTGAAAGCTGTAGACGGTGAGATTTTAGCGTCATTGACTATTGGAGTTGTTAGATACCTAAAAAGCCCTGCTTGTGAGGCAGTGAGCGGCTGATGGCTGGGAGTGCGCAGTAGGAGCTGGCTGATGACCCCCGTGAAAGGTACTGAGTGATGTGGCCAGTCTGTTGGCACAGATGATGGATTTCTCTCAAATTCCTTGTCACTCTGCCACTTTAAGATGTAAACCAGTTCGAGTTCACTTTTGTACCCTGCCCCCAGCACCTGGCAGAACGTTTTGGAGAAAGTAAAACCTCACTGAGTCATTTTTAACCTGTGATGTGCACAGCAACAAGGGAGCAGTGCACCAGGAAGTGAAAATCGTGCTCCCGCCTTGCCCCCAGACATTGCAGCTCCCTCTCCAGGAGGCGTGCGTGGCTTCCCTCCTGCCTGGATGGAGGACGGAGAACAGGGTCAGGAAAGATGAGAGTGGGCGGTCTGCGTTACCAGGGGTCCCTAAGACCAAGTGGGTCCAGCAGCAGGGCATGTGCCTCCCTTGCCTGGGGCTGCGAGGGAGAGGGCAGAGAGGCATTGAGGGGCCATAGCGAGGCTCCAGGGCACTGACCCTACTCCCTCCTCTTCTAGCCTGGGGTAATTTGCCTGACTTTCCCAGGACGGGGCTCCGCCTGCTGGTCCCTTTGCCTCTTCCTCTGAAGTTGCTCCTCCCCCAAGGCCCCTGCTCTTGGCCTTCTCTTGCTTTCGGTGCCCTGTCTCTGGGCACCCTGCCGAGGCAGCCCCGGTGCCCCTTCCCAGGTGTATCACAGCACCCAGGTGCCAGCCCTGTGCCAGTGTTCCCTGTACTGTCCCCGGAAGGCAGGGTGTTGCCATCAAGCCATCCTCGTTTCCCTGGTGCCTACCTCACTGCCTGGCACAAAACTGCCCAGAGGGTGAAAAAGATCCTGACAACTGAGTAACACAAAGGGGAACTGGGGCGGGCGTGCAGCCTGGGACCAGGATGGGAGTCTGTCTTTCGGTCATCCTGAGAGCTTAGATTTAGAATCTGACCTCCGGACACCTTCCCAGCATCCCCCGCCGCCCCTCCCCCCATACACACTAGGAATCCCATGGTCATGGGACTGGAAAGAGTCTGGGGCAACATCCCCATCCACCACCCCCCAGGCCTCCTGCCAGCCAGTCCAGAACCCAGGAGTGTTTTCCTTGGCTCCACCCCACCCCCACACAGGCGGCTACCTCTTATCCACTTCCCCAGCCCCACTCTCTCTTGCTGTCCTCACTGCCCGCCACCGTCATCACCTCCTGGGGCACCCCCTACTGTGCCGCTGCCTCTTCAGCTGAGTCATCTTTGCAAAGTGCACAGCTGATGATGTGGCTCCCCCACTGAGAGCCTGTGCCAGCCTCATTGTGCGCAGACAAAGCCTCCTCCTGCCTCCCCTCCCGCTGACTCTCAGGCTTCCACAGGCCTCTGGTCTTCCACAGGTTTTATTTCCTCTGCTGGGGACATTTCCCACCCATCCCCCAGTCCCACTTGGCTTGGGTGGTCTCCACTCCTACTCAGCTGTCCGCATAGGCGTCCCAAGCCTGGGCATAGGAATCCCTGTGGCCTGTGACTTAACTCTGTGCTGTCCAGTAGCTGTCCCACTCCTAAGAGCAAGGACCCTGCTGTTCCTGAGGCTGGTGACGAGCTGAGCAGGTTGCACACCTGCAGGGTCGCCATTTGGAGTCCACTTGGAGAACAAAGACTCCCAGCCCCAAGTGCTGCCCTGCGGGCCCACGCTTGTCCTCCTGCCTCCAGCATGGTCCAGGTGCCCAGGATATGCTCAACGTGAAAGGCGCACATGAATGAGTGAACAGGTGAATGACAGTGAACGAGGCCCTCCCTGACTTTCTTTGACCTCTGAGCTGGCCCCCTCCCCAGTCTCCTCTTGCAGTCGCGCATCTAAGAGGGTCCTCCCACATAGCACTGTCTTCTCCTGTAACAGGACGTCTCCCAAACGGGGTCCACTCACCCAATACACAGCAAGCCAATCACCAGGGTGGTGGAAGAAATAGGTGTTTATTGCAAACATAGAGTAAGGAGCTAGGCGGGTACTGATGGCAGCAAGGATGAATTAATCTTTCTCCAGGCTCTTGTCTCCCACAAAGATTACTAAGTGTAGACACCTGTAAGGTGCACAAAGTGACAACAAAATTGACTCCCAAGTGTGGGTCACCCCACACGGAGAAGTACCCATCATGAGAGGGCCAGAGGTTTGTCCAAAGAGAGAAGGGGTGGGGGAGGGAGAGAGCACCTGTGTTACACCTCCAGCCCTGGGAGAGAGAGAGAGCACTCCCCCAGCTATTGGCCTCTTCTGTAAGGTACCAAGTGCTGCTTCCACAGGCATGAAGCCACCTGAGAATTTCATGACACCTCCACAGTTTCCATGTGGAGTTTCAGATCCACATTTTCACAGCCTCCTCCCTCAGGCCTGGATGGAGCAGGTGCATGCTGGGAAAGGGGGCGTTTGGATTGACAAGTAGGAG